TCCTTGGCGGCTCGACATACACTAGTATCATCTATTGTTATGGCTATTCCTTCTTATTCTATGCAATCTACACCATTACTTGCTTATACTTGTAAAGAGATTGATAAGAAGTGTCAAAGATTTATATGAGGAGGTTCTACTTCGCAGAGGAAGTTACATCTTGTGGCTTAGGAGGATGTGTGCATGAAAAAAGATGAAAGGGTCTAGGTTTGAGACATGCCTACAAACAAAACAAAGCTTTCATGATGAAGTTGGGATGGGGCTTAGTTCATCATAGAGATGCTCTATGGGTGCAATTTATGAGAGAGAAATACAAGTGTGGTGAAGACGTTATCCTTAATGTTGAAGCATGTAGAAGTATGTCAAGAGCTTGGAAAGGTATTCTTGATGCTTGGACTGACACTACTAAAGGTATTGCTTGGCAGGTTGGGAAGGGAAACAGACTATAATTCTGGAAAGATAGTTGGTTGCCATACCATGATTCTCTCATAAATTATGCTATCAAGCAGGTCCCGAAAGAGATTTTTGATGACTTGCTTGAGAAATATTTCTCTTCAACTGGTGCTTAGCTTAGGGATAAATTTGAGGAGTATCTACCCAATATGATTCTTAGAGAAATTTATCGCATCAGGGGAAATCAAAGAGATGATAGGCCATGATAGAAGTGGTCGAACAATGGTGAATTCACTATGAAGTTAACCTATCAAAGTCTTTGCCTAGATACTAACGAAATGCGAAAGAGTATTTGGAGGAGAGTGTGGAAAGTGCTGATTCCCCAGCATAACAAAACCTTCCTTTAGTTATGCACAAGGGGCAAACTTATGACAAACTCATTTAGTGTTAATAGAGGTATATTGTCTGATGATAAGTGTTCTTTGTGCTCTTCCCATACAGAGACTACCATGCATGTCCTTCGAGATTGTAGCTTTGCAATAGGTTGTTGGTTAGATTGGTTTTGGTGGAGGTGAAAGCAACATTTGATTCTTTTAATAATATTATGGATTGGATTGATTGGAATTTAGCTCAAGGGCTCATATTAAAGGGCTATCGATGGGATATTTGGTTTGTGATTATTTGCCGACAATTATGGATCAGTAGGAACTTAAGAGTCTTTCAACAAAAGAAGTGTGGGGTTTGGGAGGTTTTGGCTCAAGTGCAAGCGTTGGTGTCTTGGTCAAACTCTAAAACCCTATCTACTTAGATAGAAAGAGATAGAGTATGATGGAGAGCACTGGAAATGGAAGTTGTCAAATTCAATACAGTTGGTGTAAGTGGAAAGGATGGTGCTATCACTGGATATGGGGGTGTTGTTAGAGATCACATAGGGTGTTGTCTTAGTGGGTTTATCTATCATATTAGCTAAGGGAGCAATCTAAATGCTGAGCTTTGGGGTGTCACATGGGCACTTAAAAGAGCATGGGATATGGGTTGGAGAAGGATAGTGATAAAGACAAATTGCATGGAGGCTATCAAGAGGCTACAAAATGATGAACAACCAGAACACCCTGATCGTGACCTCATTGTAGAGATCCAGAGCATGAGACGACGAGACTAGACTATTGATTTGACCTGGTGTCACCGAGAAGCCAACTTCGTTGTAGATTCGTTAGCGAAGGAGGCTTTAAAGCACATGGGGGATGTGATCTTCTTTACATTCCTGATTTTATCTCTGATAGTTTAATGTCTGATGTTAGTTTTTAATTTTTAATGTTTTTTGTTTTTTTTCCTTCTTTTCCTTCATCGAAAAAAAAGAAAGCATTAGAAACGTGCATAATTATTCGATTCTTTAAAGAATTGATTTACTTCCTACTTGATTTTCAAATCATCAGTATTGAATCTTTTAACATGTTGGCAATTTATTTTGTTTTAATTAAGCCTTATAGTTTAATCAATTAAAATTTTTAATCCCTCAAAGTTAAGATCCTTACATTTTTTAAAAGGAAAAATTAATTAAAAATTTTATATTTTTATTAAATGATTATATGAATTTAGAATTAATTACATAATTTTTATAACTCAATTTATATAATTAGGTTGTCTTCTAAATATTTTTTTAATACATGTAGAATTTTCATAAAAATTATAATAAAAATATAAACAGTGGATTAAATCAAATTTTTTTTTCAATTTTGGCTTAACGTATTAAATTAAATTTTCTACAAACTCCAAGAGTATTTTTTTTTGTAAAATTTAATAATCCATTATTAATTTTAACCTTCAGGGTCAATATATAATATAAGAGTTTGATTAAAATATAATAGGTGAAAACATAAGAGCTTTAATAAATTGTAAAGTTCTAATTTAAAATTGAGTGAAACTGTAAGTACTTGCAAGTATATTTTTTTAAAACTTTATATGAGCCGAATATATGTGCTTTGTTAAATTTGCTGCAATTCTTCAAAAGTATCAATTTCAAAAGGAAATTTTCTATAAATTCAATGAGAACCTGCAAGAAGTTAACAATGAATTTCCGCGAAAAAAGATCACTACTTGTAATCATAGTCAACTCTGCCTTGTGCGTTGGTTTAGAGACTCAAGTACTCCACTAGATTGTAATTAGTGGATATTAATTAAATTTTTTATTTTTATTAAATAATTATAAACGCAATATATACTTTAAGGCCCATTCATACTGCACGGACTGCGACTTCACCTTTGAGACGTAGGTATTCTAGTTTGCCATGCATATATAAATCCAATTTATATATGCAATTCTGTTTTTAAATTTCTTAACATCGTTTTAAAAATATTTTTACCTTGTTTTCATATTTTTATAAAGGATCAATATTTAATGTGTGCATGTGGACTAAAGCACGATAGTAAGTATTAAAATGCTCTTTATCCTCAAAATCATGAACACACATGACATTAATCAACCACCCGACTTTTAACAATGTGCAAGATATTATAAATACTTTGATTTGATAAAGGATTAAGAGCTTATCTATGAGCATATATATAAGAAGCTAATTTATGTGTAATTACAGATTTCAATTTCAAAAAATTTAATCCGTTTCATTTATCTCTATCATTATTGGTTCTAAGGAGAATCTGATTTTTTGTCATTAACAGCAGATTGTTTTCAATATTACTTTTATGAGTAATTTAGATAGAAATGTGTGTGTGGATGAATTCTTATTGTTATATCTTTTGCATCATGCATTCACAAATTAATAAACACGTCTTTTTTGAAAAAATAACATTACCACATTATATAAATTTCATTCGTCAAACGTTTTTAATATATTTATATTACCTTATTTAGCCAATTATAAATCATTGATCCAATACATGTAATTCTTTTTTAATTCTCTAATGATGATTTAAAAAATTTAAAATTTTTATCCTATGTTATAAAGGATCAATATTTATGAGTTTGCATATGGACTAAAATTAGATAATAAATGTTACTCCCTTTGTTAAAAAATATAAGGTATTTTTAATCAAATTTCACCCTCCAATAAAATAGTTATCTACTTTTTAACTAATCCTATCTTTTTATATTTATCCTTATTAAACACTCTACAATAAATATAAAGTCATTCATTAATAGAGGCACTTTTGAAAAAGAGTAATAATTATACATCAAAAGACTAAAAATATCTTACATTTTTTAACAACTTATTTTTCCTTCTCCAATCATAAAAAGTGTTAATATGTAAAAGATACAGTGTGTATTGCGTGTATTGAGGAAGGATGAAATATCATGCTGCTTCAACAACATGAGATCATATATAACAACAAACTTATTAGTTGACATCATTCGAAAAATATATGTCAGGCACATGCCTTGACATAATGGAAAGAATGGAAGGACAATTTGGGACGACAAGACCAATAAAATTGGGTCAAGTGAAAAAAGTCTAGTAGAAGAGATTAATTTTTACAACATAGCAAATTAAGATTTGAATACATATTAAAAGAGATATCCATATTTAATATCTCACAATGCTTCAAATAAGATTACTTTTAATAGAATGATAATTGTGCACGAGCAGAAAAGAATTCAGAACAAAAGAAAGAATAGAACTAGGGTACATCTCAATAACAAAAAGAACGAGGAGAGTTTGGCACTACAAGAATAAAAATACATTATAAATATTGCATAATTTAATGTATTGCATAATATAACGTATTTAAAACATTTAGGGGTAGAGGTAGTTTTGTAATTATAAAATCTGTTTCGTCATTTTATTCTTAATCCGCAATTTAAGAAGATAAAAAATTGAATTTACACCTGAAATCGTAGTCGTTGATCTTAATAGAATGAATTATAATTATTTAAATTCAAAATATTTAAAATCACCAAGAAAGACATCCTTAAGTATTGTATTCCCTCTGAAAAAAGCATTCAAATAATGGTTTTTTTTTTTTTTTGTGGAAAGATTCAAATAAGGTTTAACCCTTATAACCATTATACATTGTCCATTTCATTAGCAACTGGGCCCCCGGGGGCAGGGGGGGGGGGACTCCGTAGCACGCGGTCAATGCCCTATTATTGTTCTTTTATATAGCATTTATTTTTTTAAATATGTTTGTTTGGTTGTAATAGAAGATTAACTAAATGAAATTTAAATTTTTATCCAAGTATAAATCTACTAGTTTTTTTTAAAAGAAAATTTATACAATTACTACAATTCATTTTTTCTTTAACTTGAATAGTACTTGAATTTCATTAAAACAGTGAAAACAAAGAGATTACAAACAGGGACCGAACAGTCTGAAGAGAAGAGCAAGACAAGAAAAACATAACACTAGAAATTGAACAAAAACAAGAGAACAAAAAACGGAACAAGAAAACTCAACTTCAAATGCCAAGCTATGAGAAGGATCTAAGAAGCAAGACTTCACCACCTCCAATCAAAATTCACAAGTGTTCGGGTTGCCATATTGGATCACCTTTATTATGCAACCAAGATTATGGGATTCATTAAAACCTCTTGGGTGGATAGCAAACCTTCTGCTACATCACTAGCAAACTCAAAATCTCATCAAGATTTCTACCATATTCTCTTGATTCTTGCAACTCTTATTGCTACTGTTACATATATTTCATCAGCTATTTTCTCCACATATCTAAAGCAAATATACCTTAAACTCTTGTTGAACACTAGGACTCCAATAGCTCCCCAGAATCCTGTCATAAAATCAAGGGCAACAACAAAGTAAAACAGGATCTTTTCTTTTTTGTTGTCGTTGTCTTGGCCTTCATAAGTTGGAGCTTCATTATTGTCATCTGGGGAGCATTTTTTCAGCACAGGTTCTCCACAGAGATATTGGTTTCCAATATAAATGGATGAATCCTTAAGAGTGAGGAATTGGCTTCCCTTTGGAATTGTCCCTGAAAAGTTGTTGTATGACAAATTCAAGTGGCTCAATGATGTCAAAGAAGACATGCTACTTGGAAGTGGGCCTTCAAGTTGGTTCCATGAGAGGTCCAAGGATTCTAAAAACTTCATTTTCCCTATTTTGCTTGGGATTTCTCCTGATAAAGAGTTGTGTGATAAATTCAAGCTGTCTAATCCAGTGAGAGAAGTTAGAACTTCTGGTATAAAGCCAACTAGGTTGTTATTTGACAAGTCCATATTAATTACAAACTTGAGATTTTTTGTGAAGTCAAGTTCTCTTCCTTTCATGAATTGCTTGACATCTTCTCTTTCCCATCGATCAAAAGGTGGAGTTGTCGGTGGGGTAGGTGGGGGTGTAGGAGCAACTACAGGTTCAGAAGCTTCATCTACCTTGGATCCTTTGTTTGATGCTTTATTTATCATCATTCCCTTAAGATTCCCAATGCAAAAAGGAATTGTACTAGTTAAGTTGTTACTTGCTAGATCCAAGCTTTGTAAGTATCGGAGTTTACACAGGCTTGATGGGATACTACCATTGAAATTGTTTTGGTGAAGCCTTAGAATTTTCAGCCTAGTAGTACCTTCCCAAAAAGTTGAAGATATATTGCCATATAATTGATTGTTGCCATGATCCAAAATCTCTAACAAGTGGCAAGATGACAAGGTTGATGGAAGCTCTCCAAGCAAACTATTGTTGCTTAGGTTCAAAGATTCTAAAAAAGGGGATTGATGAAAATCATTACAAAATATTTTAGGAATGTTGCTTGAAAAACTCATTAGATGATAGATCTATCAATCCAATGTAACGAGTTTCACCAATACAGTTAGGAATCTCACTAGATAATTTATTTTTTGAGAGATCTAAGTTTTCAAGACATTGTAATTTACACAATGATTTAGGAATAGAACCATTCAAAATGTTATTACCAAGGAACAAACTAATCAAATTTGGCATTATGTCATGGAGATTTCTTGGGAGTTGTCCACTAATCTTGTTGTTGGAGAGATCTAGCACATTGAGATCCTCTTGTTGAAACCATATTGGGAGGCTACCCCAAAGACTGGTGTATGATAAGTCTAACACAACTAACCTCTTTTGGCTTTGAAGCCATTGAGGAAATGGTGTGTCAACTTTGTAAGATGATAAATTAAGATCTATCAATTGAAAAGGAGGCAACCAGTTGGATGGAAGCTCTATAGATAACTTGTTAACCCCTACCCTTAATTCTTGGAGATTGGATAGATTACTAAGGATAATTTCCCTAAGAGCACCTTCAAAGGAGTTAGTTGAAAGATCTAAAATTTTCAAGTTTAGAAGCTTTCCAAGACTATCTGGGATGTGACCTGTGCCGGCAAGATCTAATACCCTTAAGGAAAACAAACTCCCCAAGAATGCTGGAATTGTTCCATTGAAGTGATTATCTTCAAGAATTAGCTCTTTCAATTTGGTCAAATTTCTAAAGAATAATGGGATGGGGCCACATAACAAATTTGAAGCCAAATTCAACTTCGCTAGATTCCTAAGTTGGCCAAAGCTTTCTGTGAGATCTTTCAACTCATTGTGACTCAAATCTAGTGCTTTTAAATGATCGCTCATGCAAACTGATATATTTTTTAAGCTTCCAAATTTTTCTCCTTGAAATTTATTGTCTGGAAACAAGTCAAATGATTTTAGATTGCAATTGATGTTGGAATTTCGAGGACAAGAACTTTGGACAATAGAGAATTTATTTTTGGCAAGATTGACATGTTGAATTCTCTTGATAGAGTATAATGGAATTGTAGAAATTAGATTATTGCTGGAAAGATCAAGAAATCTAAGGGAAGTAATGTTCTGAATAGTAGTAGGGAACAAACCAAGGAGTTTATTCCTTGCTAGATTCAGATCGGCTAGAAATGTGAACTCTCCTAGCCATAATGGAACTGAGTCAATGTTGTTGTCGGAAATGTCAAGGGATGTAAGGGTTGACAGGTTTTGAATAGCAGTAGGGAATAAACCTGAAATGCTATTCGTTGATAGATTCAAATGAGCTAGAAACCTGAACTTCCCTAACCATAATGGAACAAAGTCAATAATGTTGCACGAAAGGTCAAGAGATCTAAGGGATGTCATGTTTTGCAAAGCTTTGGGTATGGCATCAAGACTATTTGCCCCAAGATTCAAGACTTGAACCTTGGAAGGAATTGTGGAGGAGTTCACAAACCCATAAGAAGCATTATAGGAGAAAAATTGACAATGCATAAAGTTTGCTTGTAACAAGAATGGGAGATTATAGATTACCTGCATTATGATATTCATATCATTCTCAATGAGAACTCCCCCCATGTTAATATATCGCAAAGAAGAAAGTTGAGAGACCCAAGTAAAGTCATCCATGTAAAGAAATTGATCTCTCCAAACCCATAAGCCATCCACGTAAACTCCATTGAGATCAAGAATTTGCAAGTTGGTAAGGTTTCCTAAATATTGTGGCACACAACCCCAAAAGGAACAGTGGGAAAGATTAAGATACCTTAGTTGTTCCATGGACCCAAGGAACGGTGGGATATGACTTTGTTGAAAATCAACGAAGCATAAATCCAAGTAGCTTAAATGTTTCAACTCCAATAAGGAAGGGCTCATTGCTTTACTTGTCAATGTGCAGTTAACAAAACATGGACCGTGGCCATTTTTTAACTTTTCTACCATGGGATTTGTTATTGGGCTGAGATCAATCTTGACCACATGCCCAATGATGCCATTACATTTGACTCCTTTCCATTTGCAGCATTCTTTGCCTTCCCATACAAGAACATCCCTTGAGTAATTGTCAGAGCTGTCTCTGAACTTCAAAAGAGCATGCCTCTCTTCTTCTATGCAGCCATCATCAGTGAGATTCCCACACAAACAAAGTTGTGAAGCTGCACAAGAAAGTAGAAAAAAAATTAAAATCATCTCAATGCCATCACTTATGGATCTTCTTATGCTTGCTCAAGGGATTTAATGCCCTAGCAATAGATGTTATGGATGGATGAGAACGTAAGGTGGTTGGCGTTTATATATAAGAGACTAGAAAATGAGAGTGATTGATAACTTTGTTTTTTTAGAAGTAAAACAAACTTGCCCTCTAACCTCTGTAATTGCGAAAAGACTCAACTTTAGCCACGTATTCATATTTGCTATGTAAGATGACTGAGTCAATGCTAACTTGTATAATGGTTCCAAGACTCAACTTCACCTGCTTATCCATATATATTTACAAAAATAAAGAATGAAGTCACATGATATTAACACTTGGCGATACATTTTGTTAATTTCCACATTGAAGAATTATCCGAGAAAAAGATTATTACATGTATTAGTATTTCCAACGGTTTAGCTCTACTTGATTGTTCGGACGTTTCTTATAGAACATCCCTTGACTTGGAATATTCAGAAGTAATCCTCAAAGCCTTCCACTGCACAGCTTTGCATCGACTTGCTGGCATAAAGTTTCGTTGTAACGTATTGTAAAACAGAAACAATCACATAACAACAACAACAACAACAACAACAACAACAACAACAATAACCAACATCAAATTAGGATTGCTATATCTCATTATTGAAAATTCTCTTATAAGATATCTGAGCATAATCCACCATATCTCATACTCACCCACATGATCAGTAGAATCTGCAAATTAAACCTGCTTGTATATATATCATAGTTTCCCCCCCCCCTTAACACAAACTACTAGCGATGAAATAAATTAGAAAAAGTATTTATGTAAATAATTGTTTAATGAGAGGTGTCACAGAGAAAAGCCAAAATGATACAAAGCTCACCAATAAAACTAACTAATAGAGTGAACAGGAGGTGATAAATTCCCATGCATGCTACACAAGAAACTAGGTTAATAAATACATTGGTAAAATGACAAAAATAATTTTTAAAAAGTATCTTATATTTTGAACTAATAAGTTAATTAGAAAAATGTCTTACAATTTGGATAGAAGGGAGGGAGTATCTACCAATTTTCCTAAACTACCCATCCTTTGAATCATTTACATTGGAAATTGTTCCTATAGATTGAATCAATATGATAGTTTGGGAAAATATAATAAATTTAGAGACAAATTAAGATTGAGAATCTTATATTTATATGATTACTACAAACTCCTCCATCAATTTCTACATTTAAGATTACAGAAAGTAGTGTATAGAACCACTCACCAATTAAATCCAAATTCCTGATCCAAATGTTCAAATTAAATTATTATATAGTAGCAATTAACTTTCATTATAAATAAGTCCAAACTCTTGTATAAGAAATCTTGAATACACATAATGTGTTAAGATTATTCATCATTTTTTCTTGGACAATAAAAACCATATAATATTAATTCCTGTTAATTATCAACGCCTCTCTCTTTCTCTCTAGATTTTTCCTTCATTTCCTCACCTTTTATTTATCTAGAAAGTTCACATGCTAGATTGAGAGAAAGAGAGATAGGGAACAGCCTAGTGAGTGTTGAGTCAATTAATGGTAACTTGTCTAATGGTTTAAAGACTCTAAAGATAAGTTTGTTTAATCTTTTTTCAATTGAAAAATCAGATTTTCAAAAAAAAAATTTTTTTTTGAAGATTTTACTATATTTTTTTAAACTGCTAAAAATAACCAGAATATGAAAGAAAAAGAAAATTTCGGATATATTTTGAGAAATTACTTTAAATAGATTATTTTAATCAAATGCAATATAAGAGAAAGATTAATGTCATCAAAAGACATATATGCACAGAGATATTGTAAAATTTAAAAATAAGTAAATAATAAATTTTTCTTATAAAATAAAGATTCACAAAAGTATCATAAAATTTTAAAATTATTAAACAATAAATATATTTTTATAAAATCTCTAAAAAATTTAAAAATCAATTTTTTAAGTAAAACGAACTTGCCCTCTAACCAGTGCGCACGGTGGGGCAAAGACTCAACTTCAACCACATATTCGTATTATCTATATACAAGAAGATTGAGTCAATGCCAACTTGGGTAATGGTTTCAAGATTCAACTTCATCTGTCCATTCATGCATGCTCACAAAAAAGAAGACTGAGGAATGCGCAACGAAGGATCACACAGATATTAATACTTGGGAATATATTTTGTTAATTTCTACAATGAGGAATTTCCAGAAAAAAGGTTACTTGTAACCAAGGTCCATACTGCCTTGTGATGATGATCAAATCTTGTAATTCGCGACAATAATTATATATATATATATATATATATATATAATGTGTTAAGTAAGAAAAGAATATATATTTAATATATTATAATTTATAATTTTATAATTTCATGCAAATCATGTATTTTTGGGCTTATATATTTAACATGTATTTTTTATCAGCCAGCCTAAGAATGTGTCGGACTCTAAATTTATTTTTCGTGCAATATTTTTCTTTAACATTTGAAAATGATATAGTCTAACTTTTACCATTAATAAAAATTAACTTTGATCATTAGTTGATCAAATGAAAAACAAAAAAAAAAGACCTAAAATCTTTGAAAAATTTACAAATAATGACCCAAAAAATTACATAAAAGGACCAGGAATATTTTATTGGTAATTTCTTTTTAATTTTTGAGATCATTTTCTAATCAAATAATAGTCAAAGTTAACTTCTATTAATGGTAGGTACCATTTTTAAAAGTTGAAGAGACATATTGCACGAAAAATAAGTATAAGGTTCCATACGCTTATAGGCTTATAATTTAATTGGATCCTAACCAAAAAAAAAAAACCATTGATTTCGTAGAATAAAATGACCCTCATTAAGCTCCCTTCGGTTCATCTCCAATATCACTTTTTTCGTTTATCAATATTTATTTGAAGCATAAGTTTAGGATTTTGATTCACCTTTTCGATTAAAAAAGGATTTTCATTTGTATAAATACTTTATTATAAGTCATTTTTAATTGTTCCATAGATTTAAGGAGAGATGATTATTTTTTCAACTTTATCTCTTTTTAAACCCATGTGAATGCAGAAAATATTTTTATGAAAGCTAATCTTGATTGGGCCAAAAAATGACCTCAAAAATTTTATAAAAGGACCAAAAAAATTACAATAAAAAGTTTACAAATTATAGACAAGGATTCAAAAATTACAAAAAATGACCAAAAATTCTTGGTCTTCTTCTATAATTTTTGATATCCTTTTCTATCATTTTCTTATCAACCAATTATTAAAGTTAACTTTTTGTTAACGATAGAAGCTAAATTGTACTGTTTTCAAATTTAAGTTGAGGATAGGGATGAAAATAGGTTAGGTGAGCTAGGTTTTGACTAAATAGGCTTGAGTTTATGTGGAAGGTCAGGAGTCTGAGTCTAGTTTAAAGCCTGTATAAGGCTCTCAAGCCTAAACTTACCTAGAGTTTGACCTAGCTTAAAAGCTTTTTTAAAAGCCCACTTAAAAGTAAGCTTTTTAAATAGCCTTACATGTTAGTTTTAAACATCTCAAATATATTTTAGAATTATTAATGTCTATATTTATATAACATGATTGATCAATTTCAGTATATAGTAATTAAGATGACTTATCAATTATAATGCAATAGTAACATTAAAACAAATATATAAGCCCAATCTGATTAAAAATATAACTTAAAATGAAAAAGGATAGATTAATTAAAAATCAAATTGGTGAAACTAATATGTATGTAATATATTACATAATAATATATATGTAAATAGGCTGATATGTTAGACTTGGAGCTTAAACATTGTAAAAATATACTTGGCTTATTCAATTAAATAGGTCTAATTAAAGGCTTGAATTTGGTTTAATCCTGAAGTAGACCATGCTATAGGCCCCTGATCAGTGGCGAAGCTAGGACTTCGTGTTAGGGGGTGCAGATTACTTTTAAAAATAATAATTCAAAAATAAATATTTAGTATTTTAAAAATAATCATATATTTTATAATTGTCCCCTACTTATTGTCAAATACTATTAAAAATAATATTGTTTATACATAAAAAATCTTTAAGTATATAATCATGAAGCAGAAACTGAAAAAAATGAAATAAATAAGTACATTTTTTTAAATCATATTAGAATTTTGGATTTAATGGATTCAAAATTGGGCTTAAGATAAAATATTCACAAAAAAAATAGATTTTAAGGGGTGCAAAATTTTGAGACTAGAGAGGGTAAAATAGCAAACTCCATACTATTTATTTGTAATTTCTTATTAATTGAGAGGGTGCATATGCCCCACCTCCTCAAGTATATGTGGCTCTGCCACTGCCCTTGATAGTGGTTTAGTTTATTTCAACCTCTAATTTAAGGAAATAATTGGTATGATACACAAGTTTAAAATCTATGATATTGCTGCACTTAAAGTTAGAAAGTAATTTACTTGTTTATTTTTAAATTATTATAGCAGTTAACTTTCACTAGAAAAAAGTCCAAACTCCTATCGTACAGCGATTAGAACTTGCATGGCAGAATTTGTATATAGGAGTTCTTGAATACACATAACATAATACGCTAAGATTATTCTTCATTTTTCTTTGGACAATAAAACCATATAATATTGATTCCGCCTCTGTCCTAGATTTTTCCTTCGTTGCAGCACCTTTTATTTATCCAAAAAAGTTCACATGCTAAAGAGACAGAGGGAGCAGTCTGAGTGATTTATTATTATTATTTTTTTAACTTACCAATAGTCTAAACGAGCATTGAGACTTAAGCCACGTTTGCTTAATCCTTTTTTCATTGAAAATCACTTATCTTTTAAAAAATATTACTTTTAGAAAATTTTTACAATTTCCTATATACTTTGAGGGGAAAGGAGCTAAAATATTTCATCCCCTTTCCTCGTATTGCTCTCCTTCAATTTGGGAGGGAGGTAGAGTTTCTGACAATTTTGCCCTTAATTTCTGACTAATTCTCTCATCATTTTGACGCTCCTCCACCATGACAACCATTGCTTGCAAACTCACTTTCCTGGCTTGATCAGAAAAATAATCGTTATGGCGTGGCTGTGATTAGGTTTGAATCCGTTGCACAATTCGATTCTGAAGATATAGATTCCAGATGGAGTGAGTGCGACTAGGTTGACGAAGTGTGATCAAATTTTCCAGAAATCACCCATTTCCATATCTCGGGTCCACAGAGACCCGAGAGTCGTCGTCCAAGATGCAGGGATCTAATTTTCCAATATCAATATCGTCCACACAGACCCATTTGAAGAAATTATAA